ATAAAAATGTTTCTAATTAGCAAAACTTTAAAAGGGCTTAAAACAGCTTTTCTTAGGTAGTTTGCATGCATTTACATAATTAATTTGTGGGGGTGGGGGGGAACTTTTTTTTTAAATAGAAAGTAGAGGTGCAAATGGGCAGCTAGGTGGCATGGAATGTCTTCCATGAGCACCTTCTTCTTCTTCCCTAACCAAAATCCAAAGGCAAATCCAAAAGTTATTGTTATTAGGGCCTCATTGGAATTTGCCTCTAGGCAAGTCACTTAACTCTGTTTGCCTCAGTTTCCTCATCCATAAAAATAAGCTGGAGAAGGAAATGGAAAAACCACTACAGTATCTTTGCCAAGAAAACTCCAAATGGGATCATGAAGAGTTGGATATGACTGATCAAAGAGGTACTAATTACTGAGTCTTGCACCAAATTAGTGGACCAAAAATGAATGTGGTTTTAATGTGGTAAAAATATTTTTAAAAACTTTTTATGAGATGATCCTTTGAATTCATGACTAGATAGAACCCTTCTGGAATATGTAGAAACCAGAATTTATGTGGGATGTTCTTGGAGTGGGCTCAGAAGAAAACAATGGATATGATGAAAGAGTGGGACAAGAAAGCCTACAAGTAAAAGCTTCAGAAATTAAAATCATTTGACTTGGAGCAAAGTTGTATGAGAGGTTATTCAATTAGCTTTAAGTATATTGTGAAGGGTGGAAGATGGTTACATTTAGTCTTTGTTAGGTGGGAACCAGAGATAATGAGTTAAAGCTACAGTATGACAGATGTAGGTTAGATTTAAGGAAGAATTTTATGACAATGAAGGTTGAACATTAGAATGGGTTACTGAGAAAAACTGGGGAATCTTTCTTTAGAGGGCTAATAAAAATCAGGATAGATTTGCATTGGTCAGGGATGGTTTAAGATCTGGGGTCTGAGGCAGCACACTAAGGCATTTCTCTCTCAACCCTAAAAACCACATCCTATATGCCTGACCATCAGCTACTTTGGATTTTGGTTGGGGAAGAAGAAGGTGCTCATGGAGGGCAGACCAGGAATCTTGCCATAAAACTCCTTGGAAACTGGACCAGCCACCATGCTGTCTGTGTGGGGTGCTTCAGGTAGCAATTACATGACAAGAGATTTAAAGGAAATAGGACTGTTCCCTGTCTGAATGAACTTCCTGTGTGGAGTCATAGTAACCTGAGGTAGTATTCAGAATCCAAATTGAGTTTAGAAAGAAAACCCAGTTCAACTACTTCAATTACCTATTGGGGCATCATTCAATATGTGGATCAACTGTCATCCATATTATTATTTTTTTCTCTTGGAAGTTTCTCTCTGACTGCCAAGCAACTTTAACACCTTCCATCGCTCCACAGATATTCTGTAATCAGTAAATGGGAACACACTTAGAAAATAAAAATAATTGGGAAGAAAAGGGAGCAGAAGAGAGAAGAGGAAGGAGGAGAGGAAACAAAAGGTGGTGATGGACCTTACAGCTTTGCTCTTCCCATCATTTCACTCGATCCTACTCCTGATATTCTCCCAGTCGTGGTTTCAATGAATAGTAAAAGAAAGGAAAATTAAAGGAAAAGAAGTGAAAACCTTTTCTGCTACTCTTCATGTGGCTTCCCAGTCCCTACTTCACCAAATCAAGGACTCTTGTCTCCTTTTTTTCAAATTCCTTATTGCCTCTCTTTTCCCAGACACTGGTCCAGAAAGGTATCCCTAGCATGTAGTTGTGAGGATAAAATAAGAATATATGTGTATATATATTCACATACACAATAGATATATGCCTATATGTCTACATGAATGTATATATATATTTTTGAACTTGCAAATCTAAAAACACCATATGAATGTAAATTATCATCATCATCATCATTTTTATTGTTATTAGGGCCTCATTGGAGACCCTGTCCTCAATCCTCACTCAGCTCCTAATGTATCAGAATACCTGCCACAAGGCAATAAGCTACCTCCAGCTGCCTGGAAGAGAGAGAGATATCCTCCCTACTACTGGCTGGGAAAAGGGAAAGAATTTGAGGAAAGAGAATTCTTGTGTCTGTTGCTAGGATTGAGGGAATAGAGGATGGGGGAGGGCAATAGTGGTGTTGAGATATGTTCCTGGCTTCCCCAGTGGGAACTTTTGTTTTGTTTTGTTTTTTTAATTTTTAGGCAGTTGGGTTTAAGTGACTTGCCCAGGGTCACACAGCTAGTAAATGTCAAGTGTTTGGTCTGAGGCCACATTTGAACTCAGGTCCTCCTGACTTCAGGGCTGGTGCTCTATCCACTGGGCCACCTAGCTGACCCATCCCAAGTTGGAACTATGAATTCATTTTTTTTTTCATGAAGACATTGTTATACATGATGGTTATGTAATATAGAACATTATTTTGCCATTTAGGTAGTAGGGCCCTTTAAGCCATGGAAAGCAAAAGTTGGTGCTTAATCATGCCCCAGACCTCTTTCCTCCTAAATCTAAACAATAGTGAAATGTACTCTTGCATAGCTCAGCATAACTGGTACCTCCAACACAAAAGGCTAAGAAAGCTTGCAATATAATTGCTTTAGATAATTAAGTTTATACCAGAGACCAGGACACCTGGTCTGGTTTGTGTGATCTCTGATCCGTAATAATGGGGTGCTTAGGTGCTTGCGCTTGTACTTGTACCCCAATTTCTCCCTAGTCTCAGAAACACTGTCTCTAACAACCATTCCCCAGCCCAAGGACACTGTGCCTAGCAGTTATTCATGCATGGGCCTCAGCATGACCCTTATTTCTCTCCCGGGTACAGCTACACAGAGCTGGGCTGCTCAGGCCCCAGCCCTCAGATCATGTCTCTGGAAGCCTCCCAATTCCTCAGTAAGTTCCTGTGTTGTAAGAAAGCTTTCCCTTGTTGCAGAGCATTCTCTCATCAAGACAGAGGGAGAGGGGTGTCCTTGACCAGCCCAAGAACTCTTCCTCTTGCCAGACTTCAAAGATCCATCCCCCTCCCTGTCCGGTGTACTCCCTGCACTTTCCCATCCATAGCTCCAAAGACACCTGCATCTTTGGATTACCTCATCAGTGTTCCTCGCAATTCTTTCCCATGCTCTTTTCTATATAAACCCTAGCTCGACCCCTGATGGGGGCTGCTTGATTTGGATGTGCATACCCCTGGCAGCGGCGTGCTAATAAATCCGCATCTTAAATTACGCCTGGATCTCACTCACTGATTTCTCGGTACAACAGTTAGACTATATGTTCCTATTAGTACTTTATTTCATCTACATTACAGATTAAATAGGCTTTTGGGGGCTAGCCTAGCACTTTAACCACCATGTACAGTGTTGTTTCTATGAGAAACTGTATTCCAAGTTCCAAACAACCAACTTACAAATGAATTTTTGTAATACAACTCGTTTGTAAGTTGGAACTTCCAAATCATGGCTTATATCTTTTTTAAAAAGTCTTATTATATATTTTTTTCTCAATTGCATGTAAAACATTTTTAACATTTGTTTTTTAAAAGTTGGGTTCCAAGTTTTTTCTTTCCCTCCCTCCTCTACCCTCTCCTTGAAAAGGCAAAGGGGGCAGCTAGGTGGTGCAGTGGATAGAGTCTGGCCTTGGGGTCAGGAGGACCTGCTTTCAAATCCAGCCTCAGACACTTGACACTTACTAGCTGTGTGACCCTGGGTCAGTCATTTAACCCCGATTGCCTCACCAAAAAGCAAAAATAAAAAAAGAAGGCAAGCAATTTGACATAGATTACACATGAGAAGTCATTAAAACATATTTGCATATTATCCATATTGCAAAAAACAGACAAAAAATAAGAAAAATAAAGAAAGTTTAAAAAGTAAAAAATAAAAATAAAAATAAAAAACCAAACCCAAGGTAGACTATGACTTATGAAGGTAAAACTGGAACAAAATGTGAGGCTTTTGAGGACAGAGACTACTTCTTACAGATTTCTGTGTCTTTCACAGAACCTAATATAATGCCTAAACCAGAGATCACCAAACTGTGATCCATGGTGCCCTCACAGGAGCATGGTTGGATATTTAAAATTCTCAACCTAACTAGTTGATAAAGAGACTGTTAGGATCTAAAGGGGTCATGAAAAGAGTTACTGAGATACTAAGTGCACCTCGAGTGGAGAAAGTAGTTGGCCTAGACAATAGGAGATGCCCAACAAATGTTTGCCAAATGATTCAACTGAATAACTATTAAAATGTGTAATCCATTTCAAAAATATAAAGGATTTGGGTACCAATATTGCATAGTATCTTCACCATCGATACCTCCATCAACATGGATAATGGAATTATGTACAAATTCCTAGGATGCACCTTGTGTTATTATTTCTCCTTAAAAAAAAAAAGACCAATTTTGTACAGGCTGTTCCTGACTTTTAAAAAGCACTCATTTAGAAGGCCAAATAAAACATAGCATGAGGCAACTGGGAGGGTTAAGGGGGAGGCAGGAGGAGATGGAAAAGGAGATGAATTGTACCAAGGGTATGGTTATTTACAGTATCTTAAGGTGCCTGACTTAAAATGGGACAAAATGTTGTTCATCTTGTTTTACTGTTTTGTTATTCTGTCTAACAAAAATGCTTCCCTGCCCCCTCCCCCTCTTGACCCCATGTAGGTTTTAAAAACTTTGACTTATTTGCTGTTCAGTTGTTTTTCACTTGTGTCTGACTCTGTCATTTGGGACTTTCCTGGAGGAGATACTGGAGTGGTTTGTCATTTCCTTTTCCAGCTCCTTTTCCAGATGAGGAACTGAGGCAAACAGTGTTAAGTGACTTGTCCAAGGTCACAGAGCTAGTAAGTGTTTGAATCCAGATTTGAACTTTTGAAGATGAGTCTTTCTGGTTCCAAGTCTAGCTCTCTACTCACTGTACCACCTAAGCTGCCCCTTGACTGATTTAGGTTGTTGTAAAAATGTTTCCCACTTCATGACTTTTTTCTCTCTAACGTAACAGAATCTTTCTCATTCTTTATTCACACAGATGTGGACAATGGAAAGCTAGATGCAGAGGTCATTTCTGGCTGGAAGGAGGGGCAGATTCCTCTGTTGAAAGGAGGCCAGGATTTGAAGAATGTACTTAATTTATATGGTCACACTGAAGACTCCATCCCCACAATGGAAGAGTTCATGATAGGTTCTGATGAATTCAAGGAAGCTATTGAAAAAAACAAAAATGAAATCAAAGCCATCAGTCCTTTGAGACAATATGACTTCATGAGGGGGACACATCCCCGGATAAGGAGAGATGAGTTCAATTTATTAACAAAGTGTTGTCAAAGCTCTTGTACCAGAAGAGAGCTTAGCACAGTGTGCTAAGAGGAAGAAATTGAATATCTCTACTTTAGATATGTATTCTCAGTGTCAAGCTCACTGGTGCTTCAGGGAGGCACAACATGTTGGATTGACATGAAAAATCACTTTATTTACTTTACCTTTTTTCCCCCTGTGATCTCCAAGACTATGGTAGTTTGTATGATTGAGGCATTTCTTAAAAATTGCTGGTTGTTATTCTCTTAAAGTAAACTATCTTCTCTCTTTTGCTACCAATACAGCTACATGAATTGCCTTTTCATTTTGTTGCTGATATTTTGTTGTAGTAAATAAAGCATTCATTACGTCAACCAAGCTTGTTAATTTATGCCACATAGAACCTAATCTCATGCCATAAACAATAAATGGTTTTTAATGTCATAATCCTCTTGGGTCGTATCTAGGTAGAATAAGTAAACCTGAGATTTTTTTTCAGTCCATTCCGCCTTTTTGATTGCATTATTAAATATTTGTGGGCAGTCCATCTGATGGAGATGATCCAATTTAAACATTATATAGCCCCAAACACAAGTTCAGTTTCTCAGATAAAGGTCTCATATCTCAAATATATTAAGAACTTTGTCAAATCTATAAGCATATGAGTCATTCCCCAATTGATAAGTGGTCAAAGATATGAACAGGAAGTTTTCCAATGAAGAAATTTATAGTTATATGAAAAAAATGCTCTAAACCATTATTAATTAGAAAAATGCAAATTAAAACAACCTTGAGATATCATTTTACACCTACCAGATTGGTTAAAATGATTGAAGGGGAAAGTGACAGATGTTGGAAGAGATGTATAAAAATTTGGACACATTCATTGTTAGTACAGCAATTTTTCAAACCTGTGTCCTTCATCATATAAGATCAGGAACATACAAATGAGGGGGAAGGGAAACTATACACAGACTTGATCAAGCAGGAGCAGCGACTAGTACCATAGCAACTGTGTAAGCATGTGAATTTAATACAGCCAAACCAGAACTCACTATCTTTCTCTCTAAATCTATACAAACTTCTCTATTTTTGTATAGGGCACCATCATCCTTCCATTCCTTCTGGTTCACAACTTTGGACTCAACCTCCATTTTTCACTCTCTCCCTCAACACCCCTCTTCCACCCTTCCATGTCCAATCAGTAACCATCTCTTATCTGTGCTCATGTTCAATCAATAGCCATGTCTTATCTGTGTTCATTTCCCTCCCTCCAATCATTTGATCACCGTCCTAGCTCAGGCTTTCATGATCTTTCACTTGGATTATTGTGATTCTCTCCAAATTGAATTCCTTTCTCTCATCCATTCTTCATCAAGTTGCCAAAATAGTCTTCCTAAAACACAAGTCCAACTATGTCACTCCCCTGTTCCTGAACTTTCAAGTGTTCCTTATTACCTCTAGGATAAAATAGAAACTGCTCAGCTTGGTATTTAAAACCAATTATAATCTGGCTCCAAGCTCTCCTTTCAGGACAATTTCTTTTAACTCTGTTTCATTCACTCTGTTCCCCAAACTCAGCATGACCTCTCCTACCTTTCCCCAGGCTATCCCGCATGCCTCGAGTATATTTCTATCTCCTCCAACTGGCACCCTGGAGGACACACATATACTAGTTATTGGAAAAGAGAAGCACCCTTGGTAGGTGATATCCTCTCATCTTCTTTGACTCTGTCTGGAAAATGGGTTCAGTTCTGAGTGACACATCTTAGGATGGATATTGGTAATTTATAGTTTATCTGGAGGAGGGCAATGAAGATGGTGAGGAGCCTTGGGTTTATGTCATACAAGGATTAATTGAAGGGACCAGGTATATTTGGTAAGGCGAGGAGAGAATTTAGCTTGCAGAATAGCTTTATGAAGCCTTCTTATATATTTGATGTATCTACAAGTAATGGATGGTAGCTTCAAAGAAGCAAATTTCTATTTGGTGCAGGAGAAAACTTCCTAACAATTTGAGCTGTCCAAATGTGGACTGAGAGGCTTTGAGAGGTATGCTACCCTTCCTCAGAGATCTACAAATAAAGGCTGAATGACCATTTGTCAAATATGTTGACAAGGGAAGAGTTGAACTAGAAAGCTGGTCACTGAGGTGCCTTCCAAATCTGGGACCCTATGAATTATAAAGTTGTGTCTCTCTCTCCCAAAAAAAGTTATTACAGAGCTAAGAAATGGCTCCTTGCTTTTCCAACTGACAGTGCAGAATTAATTTAAATAGAAAGCTAGTTGTGCTGAAAGATTATTTGATTAATATAATTTGATTAATATAAGCATGATTTATAGCCAACTTTTCTGGAAAGTATCAGTTGGTGAAATGAGATTTTCTTTTCTTTTTTCCTGGGCCTGTGATTTCTTTTGTGTGGAGGGTGGTCCCTAGGAAGAACTCCCTCTACCCTGATTAGTACCTTCTCTGCATTTAGAGTCTTAAGGAGTTGCTTGGGCTCAGAGAGGTTAAAGAACTTGTCCAGGTCACATAGCCAGCATGTGTTTGAGATGAGAGTCTGACCCCTTCCTCTTCCAGGCTCCAAGGCCATATCTCTCTGCAGGGTCTCTGTCACTCTGCAGGTAATTCTTATAACTATCCTATGAAATGAGCAAACTTCCATAGAATTATAGACCCAGAAGTGATTTCAGAGATCAGCTAGCCCAGCTCATGACTGAGCAAGAATTTTGCCCACAATTATCCTCAAGTATTCATCTAATCACACACTTTTGACTTGAGAACCTCTAGTCACAAGTTATCCACAGCCTTCAAAGGCAGCAGGCCATTTCCCTTTCCAACAGCTAGTAAGAGGCTTTTCCTTAAACCTAGCTGAATTTGGTATCTTTACAATTACCACTCCTTGTTCCTAATTCTGATCTTTGGGTCCAAGCAAAACCAATCCTTTCTACCAGAGGGGGAAATTTTTGAAGTCTGACGTTTATAGTTTAGTTCAGTTTTGTTCACCTGAAAAATTCACTGATAGTACTGAATATTCCAGCCCCATATTCCTCCCAGTTTTCCTTCCCAGATATCAATCAATCAACAAACATTTATTAAGCACCTATTATATTCCAGGCATTGTATAAGTCAATTCAATTGTTAAAAAGAAGACAGGATGGTATATTGGGGTGGGGATTTGGAGTTAGAGGACCTGAGCTTTGATCTTGGCTCTGCTATTACAGAGCAAGGAGGTCAAATTGGTCAATGCTTAAAGAAATTAATTCAGGCTAGTCTCTGGAAAGTCAAATACTAACATTGAAGCTGAAATACTTTGGCCACATAATGAGAAGATGGGATTCATTAGAAAAGACCCTGATGTTGGGAAAGATTGAAGGCAAAAGGAGAAGGGGATGTCAGAGGGTGAGATGGATAGATAGTGTCATGGAAACAATGAAAATGAATTTGGACAGACATTGAGAGATAGTGGAGGATAGAAGGGCCTGGAGTGCCACGGTTGATGGGGTCATGAAAAATGAGACAGCTATCTACTACCTGTATGACCTTGGGTAAGTCCTAACACCTTTGGGCCTCAATTTCCTCACCTATAAAATGAGGACATTGAATTAGACGATCTTCTATGGTACAATCTTATCATTATGGATTTACAATAGAAAAATACTTCATTCAATGGCAGTAATAGCTTTATTTCCTTCATTGGAAATATGAGGGTCATTCTCTCAAGTAGGGGATAAATCCATAAATAATGCATAGGATTATCAAATAGCATGGAGAACCCTAGAATGAGAGTAAAATAACTTGCAACTTTTGGTCTTCTCCTTGAATATTAAATTGAATTAGTCTATTGTTTTGTTTTTCAATCTGAAAAGAAGAGTATACAGGGAAGCCAAATTGACCAATTGTCAGACCTTAGAGGCAGAATGGTATATCAGACCATATTTACTGAGTTGGCAAAAGGGAATCCCATGTGGAATAATATCATTGTTTTAAATTTGTTTGTCTCAGCTATAAAATGAGGACATCGACATTAAGTGCCTACAATATAGAGAGGCATAAGCAGCATAGTGGAAGAAATCTTTCAGTATGACCCTGGACAAGAGATTTCATGGAACTTGATTGACTTGGATATTTTCTTTAAAGTTTATCAACTCTGATAAGTATAGATATGCTGTTGTGATTGACTTCACTTGTAGAAATCTTTTGTGAATTATAAAATGATTAATTAGACACAACTTCCTTAACCAGAACCAGGACTAGGGCTTGGCAAGTTACACAACCTTCTACAGTACATGTGTGTGCATTTGTGTGTGTGTGTGTGTGTATGAGAGAGAGAGAGAGAGAGAGAGAGAGAGAGAGAGAGAGAGAGAGAGAGAGAGAGACAGAGAAGAGACAGAGAGAGACAGACAGAGACAGAGAGAGAGAGAGGCACTTTCCAACTCCTCAATTTTCCTTCCCTCCCTTTCATCCCCCCCCCACATATAATCAAGAAAAACAAATATAAAAATATCTCCAATATAAATGTAGGAAACAAGAAAATATAACAAATACAAAAATGTCTCAACTTGTACCCTGTTTCTATTACCTCTTTTATCAGGAGGTGAGTAGCATGTTTCATCAAGAGTCTATAGAATTGTGGTTGGTCATTGTATTGATTAGAATTCTTAAATCTTTCAGAGTTTTTCTTTTTCTAATGTTGTTATTGTGTAAATTATTCTCCTGATTCTGCTCACTTCTTTCTGCATCTGTTCATGCTAGTCTTTGCAGGTTTCTTTGAAACCTTCCCCTTCACCATTTCTTACAGCATAATAATATTCCATCACATTCATTTACCATAACTTGTTAGCCCATTCCCCAACTCATAGGTACCCACTCAATTTCCAGTTCTTTGCCACTGCAGAAGAGTTGCTATTAATGTTTTTGTACAAAACTCTTTCTTTGGTCTCTTTGTGGTATGTGCTATATCTATTTTTCCCCCCAGATTGCATTCTCTCCAGTTTACCCAGGAGTTTTTCTTTTTAATCAAATAGTCCCTCCTTGGAGGGAAGGGGGAGAGCTAAATTTTGGATATATTGTGAGATATAGGTGATATATTGATTAATTTTGCTAAATTGTTTCCTCTTTTATTAGTATTTATTATATTATGTAATATATGTATATGTTATATATATTTATTATATGTTATTATTTAAATGGGATGACTCACTAAGTAAATGAGTGGGAAGTGACATCAAAGTCAAAAATCATAGTGATATAAAAAAGATATCAATAAAAATTTCTAAAGTCAAAAAAGAAACAAATCATCAAATTTTAATACCTTTATTTTACAATTGAGGAAATTGAAATCTGGAGTTAACTGGCT